TGGAATGCTAACAAAGAATTAAGGGAGTACTGAGATAGCTATTTCTAACCTTGTTTGGTTTTCATCAGTCAGACATACCCTTCCGAGATTCGAACCTGGGCTGTCTGCATGTTAAGCAGAAGCATTAGTCCTCTATGCCACAGGCTCTTTCTCACTTTGTTAGCTACAAGAGACAGGGGAAGAGAATGAGTGCTTTTTTGAACACCCTGTCAGCCTAAATATGGGAGAGAGAGAAGTCTTTTGCCTGCATCAGCTTAATCCAAAGCCATCCACAGGCAGCAGTCGCTTAACTGCGACATCATATATGTTTTTTCAAAATTTGGAATGTATATATATATATGAATGAGAAAGAACGTACTGCTAAACTGAATGAAACTGTGCACTTTTAAATCTCCTTTGGCTTTGAACTGCCAGGATTTGAAACAAATAGGAATATTTGATACATGCACACACAACGCAGGTAGGTATCATTTACCCCACTCTGGCTATCGTTACGTTTCCAAGTATCGGTAGTTCAAGCACAAGAGGAATTTAAAAGATACGTCCTTGATTTCACCCAGTCTTTCAGCAGATGTTCCTGTTTCCTTTCAGAGAGGTTTAGATTAGAGCACTCTGTGTAAAGAGCCCTGTTGGAGGATTCCACACTTTCATTTCGTTTAGTTTTTTTTAAAAATGCTCTCCTGGGATTTCCTTGTAAGAAATTGGAGTGTAAAGTTCAAAGGCAGCCCACTCAGCAGAAGCCAAAGATGGGGGAAAGGGATTGATTCTGCCATACACACATTTGCATCCACCTCCCGAGAAATCGTCCAGGGGATCAACTGAAGAACGATGTTAGGAAGGAAAGACAAGAAGGATAAAAACACTCAGGGTTAAGAGCAGACATGTGCGAAAAGGAAAAGCTTTGCTGATGGAAAAAGAAGGAAGTCAGATTCTCAAATTCAACAATTTCAACTAATTTGTTATCGTAATGGGGGGGGAGAGAGAAATCCTCTATGATTTGGGAGCGGAAATCCACTGCTTTTTGATTTGTGCTAAAGAAACGTTTTCTCCTTTTATCCATTGTTTTTAGTGCTCTATACATACACACTGCACGATTAAAAAGAACAGACAAACATTTCTTGGCAGATAAACAAGCATCCAGAATTCAGAAACAATCCCTTAACAATTCCCAGAGATTCAATGAGAGAGAGAGAGAGAGAGAGAGAGAAAGAGAGAGGGGGAAGGAAAAGATCACTCTCTCTGTTCCAGAAACTCAAAGTTTTGCCTTCATTTGTCAAAACTTTCTCATCATCTTATTGTGGCAACAGCTTTTTTTACTGTAAAATGATCAGCCGACGTCTCCAAAGCCAATTCCTAAATTTCTACAGCAGTGACCCGCCTCCCAGGATGGAGAGGGTGTGATGGGGATCTAATCTGTTTTGGAGTTTAAGCAGAAGAATATTGCTCTGGAAGCAATAGGTGTTTAGGACAGAAGACTCAAGAAAAGAAGCTAACGTGTAACCAATGTATAATTAACAATATTTTTTTTTAATGTAGCGTTTATCGTAGTCTCTCTCCCTCCCTCCCTCTCTCTCTTTCTCTCATATTTTTAAATTTTCATTAACTTTAAAGTTTAATAGAGACAGGCTTTGATTGGAAAATGGATGCAAAAAATATCTTGTACTATACTAAGCTTTTAAAAATGTACTAGAACATATTAGTCAAGTGATATTTTAAATTCGTTGGCAACCCTCCCATACTTGACTCATTGTCTTTGGCTCTTTTCATCTAGCCTGCCCTTGTGTGGTCTTTTCCTTTTATTCTTTCAACATCAACTAGAATCATAATAGTAGAAAGGGGAGGGGGGTCAGTCCTGGCAGCTTACGTTCTGCTAGAATAAAATCCCAGTTTGGCAAATGGGACTGCCCTGCTCTAGTTTGTCCAACTGACTCTGAGAAGGAATGAAAACGTAAACATTTGCTGCCTTGTTTTGTTCTAGGAGGGCATTTTGAAATGGAAGGATGTTGGAGCTGACAACCACAAACCTAGTCCTGAAACAAAAGGTTACAGGAACAAGCTATTATTCCAGCTGGTTCAGCTTCCAACCCTGGGGGCTATTTTCTAGAAGGCTTTCTAAATATTTGTCCAGAGAAAGAAACATATAACAGAAGTACAGAGTTGGAAGGGACCTTGGTGGTCTTCTAGTCACTAGTGCAAGCCCCTGCTCAAGCAGTAAGTCCTGTTCTATTTCAGACAAATGGTTGTCTAAATCTTTTCTCTGCTTGATACTCAACTGGGTTGGATAAATCAACAATGCTCCAACACAAGATTATGGACCAGGCCTGTCGATCAAGCTAAGTCAGAGGCGCCCAAACTTTTGGGCACCAGGGACCGGTTCCGTGGAGAGAGGTTTTTCCGTGGATTGGAGGGTGCGTGGTTTTGTGTGCTGCCTGCATCCCACGGATGGGACTTTGCTTGTTTGTGCGGACCGGTTGCTGGCATGCCGTGACCCGTGCTGGTCCACAGACCGGGGGTTGGGAACCCCTGAACTAAGGTACAATACATAAACTTTGGTTAAACCTATCTCTGCCTCTTTGCTACACCCTCACATTGACCAAAAACATGAGGTTTTTCTCCCAGAAATGCAACAGGAAAGAAGTTGTCGTCTTTAGAGAAACCAGGAATCAGCCAGATTCACCCACTTACTGTCAATGATGTCTCCAAGCCCTTGAGCGCGAAGTAGATCTTTGAGCCGTGTGACTTCTTCCTTCAGCTCCCGTACCAGCTTGGCGTTGGGATCCTCGTTGATCACTGCATTGCATTTGATCTGCTTGGCCCGGTCTGCGTATCTGGACAGATCAGTGGGTTGAGAGAAAACAACAGCGGTAACATTTGTTTAAACATCTTAGCGTGGCGATGGCCAAGAATCCCGGAAGGGCTTTTATCTAGATGAGCCTGAAGAGGTGTGGACTTCAACTCCCAGAATTCCCCAGCCACCACCTCCAGGAGTTGAAGTCCACACATCAATTGCTCTACAAGCCTGAGTCACACTGCATAAGACAAGAGAGAAAATGTGGAAAGGAAAGCCCAATTATTTAAAAATCCCATTCCATACCTTAATGTGCTTAAGGTTTCGTCATAGTTTATGTCTGCTGGGCTCAAAGCAGCCACCATGGCAGTTCTGGAGTTGCCACCTACAAGGCAGAAAGGCAGTCAGATCAAGGAAGGTCAACCCTGGTTGCTGAGACACAAAAAGACTCGGCACAAATGCACCACAAACCATTATCACAATTATCTAGCCCGTCATCGGGATGTGGTAAGGCCGCTAAAAGCGGGGATCTTAAAAAATACATTTCTGTATCATAACAGTATTGTAAAAGATTGATATCAGTCGTCTTGACTATCAGAAGGGGAACTAGAACCCCGTTTCAGATAAGCTGGGTTTCATTTCTCTACGGCTTGTCGAACAAGCCAAAGCTGGCTGTGTCTACACATCATGTTGAAACATACGATAGTTTGAAAATCAGATTAGCAGAGTTGTCGAAGCGCAGAGTGCCAAAAACAGACAAGCCGCTCCACAGCTTGGTGAGTTGCGCGAAAGCTACTTTGACATTTGCCAAAGCTAAGGAAGAGAATTGAACGTTCCTATTACTCTCTCGGTCCCAGAAACATCGGCCGGGATCAAATGTCATCTGACCAATGAAAAGTTACAATCAGAATTTCTTCCACCCCAGAGCCGTAATAGTTTTTAGATCCACAGCTGATCAGACCGACATATTTAAAAGGCCAAAGTCTAGAGGATCTAAACTTCATGGACGACACGCAAATGGGGCCATGATTGTTTGCAGAGAGATCTACCACATACAAAATGAATTGCTGGTTATTCGGAGTGAAACTTTAAAAAAACGAGCGGAAAAGGTCAAAATCTCAACTTCGTACCTAGGTTTTCCCGAAGCAGCCAGGTCAGCACAGAATCCCTGTACGGAATAAAATCCGTTTTCTTTTTCTTCTTACTCTGCAAAAGGACATTTGGTACTTAAGAGCCAGTTACCGTACAAGACGCTTGCAGAGAGAGGTGTACCCAAGCGGGCGGGCCTGCCACTTCCACGGAACAGGATGTGGGAAGCCACGACCTGGTGGAGGTGATTCTCCTGAGAAGGTGACACTTTAGCAGCCTTAGACTCAAAGGGCTTTTAAAAAAAAACACATTAAAATAGGTGCCTCTCCTTAATTGACAAAAGAACTGAACTTGTTAATTGTTTTGGGCAAAGACAGGGAAACTGGAAATGGCAAGCCCCATCTTGGAAGAGGCGTTAGAGAGAAAAAGAAGGATGCTCTTTTTAAAAAAAAGAAAGAAAAAAAAAGCATCTGCTGCAATGCACCAAGGTGGTTCCCACCACATCTGTCAGGATGAGGACATTTTATTATCCAAGTTACATGGCACTTCTGGATAAAAATGTCTTCATTTCTCAGCAGACAGAAACAGGGAACTGTGGGACAAAACAAAGCCAGGTCAGTTTTGCTCCATGTTCCTATATTTGTCTCTCTCTCTCTCTCTCTTTCTTTCTCTCTCTTTCCCCTCCCACCCAACTGAGTTTTCCTTTGCCAAGAAGGAAACACATTGTGAAAGTGCTCTGGGCCTAAAATAATTGCTTTTAAAAATATGATTTTATATCACGAAAGGGCTGATCCTCCAGAAACACAGGACTGGAGCCCTGTATCGGATGTGCATGGGTCTTGGACCCTGGCCATGACTCTGATGGGGTTAGCCAAAAGGCAGCTGATGAGTCTAATCGGGACCAAGAACAGATGCCTTGGCGCAAAATAAAGGAACAAAACCCAACTTCTCCTGGAAAATCTTTTTTTGAGAGAGAGGAAGAGGGAGAAACTGCTATTCTACGTATGCCCGGAGGCACGTACTATATACTAAGACGGTCCAGAACATTAAAAGACACCTGTCGTTGTTACAGAAGTGAGCCACGTGTGATCCGATCACATACATTTTGCCCCGTGTTTCTGATGCAGAAAATGCTCTCTGCAGGACTGTCTTTGAGGTGGCAAAATTGGCTCGTGCCAAGACAACAGCGCAAAAAAAGAACATTTTCTTTAGATGGCAGGATTTCTCCAGCTATTACAAACACCCCTGCTTTAAGAAAGCTGGTCTAGAGTTTTCCTCCCTGACCAAACAGTTTTCACTCCTACAGGAGAGGCTTACTTGCAAGCAAGAGGTGCAACTGGGCAAGGAGACTGCCATAGTGATTTTACTGTATTTACAGTCGGAGAGCGGACACAATTAAAAGTCTGTGGCTTCTTCCAAAGCTCGTCCCAATCTTTGAAGCAGGCATGTTTGGAATGCTAGAGAGGATTAGATGGGGTGGGACTGTGTTTCCTTTAGAAAACACATTGCTAGCTAGGAACCAGCAGTGTCTACTACAGCAATGTTTCACCACCATGGCAACTTGTAAAGATGTGTGGAGTTCAACTCCGACGATTCCCCAGCCCAAGCATGCTGGCAGGGGAATTCTGGGGATTGAAGTCCACGTATCGTCAAGCTGCCAAGGTTGAGAACTACTGTTCTACAGGCTACCACATTCAGTGACCACTCTTTACCCATCCTACCTTGCTGGTGCAGTTATCCTAGTTTTGGAAGCAGAGAATGGGAAAAAGGAGATAAAAGTAAGGTAGGACCACAACAGAGTCAGAGAGAAAGTTCCCTGCCATTTCCCCAAAGCAGACACACCACTTAGTCTTACTTCCCATCACCCTAAAAGGCCAACCCTCTATATCAGAACTCTATGACAGGGCTTTTCAACCAGTGGTACGGGTACCACCTGTGGTACATTGGCACCTGGCAGGTGGTACACGACCATCCTAGAAAAGGGGTAGCGGGGGAGGGGAAATGAGCTGAACCGGTGGCAGCACCGCACAAGTCTGAGCGAAAGATGGCTGGAGCTGCAGGGCTGTCAGGGCTCAGCGGAAGCGCCAGGATCAGTGCCAGGCTCCAGCTGATTGGCGCTTCTTCGGGACTGTCAGGGCTCAGTGGAAGCGCCAGGATCAGCACCAGGCTCCAGTTGGAGCTCAGTGCTGATCCTGGCGCTTCTGCTGAGCCCAGAAGAAGCGCCAATCAGCTGGAATGTTGCAGCATCTCCAGGGTCTTGTGATTTACAATCAGATGCTTGGCAACTGATTCATATTTATGAGGGTAACAGTGTCTCGTGAAGTGACCAAAACCTGCTGCAACCACCCAGCAGACGGGGGGAATAAAAACCAAACACCCCCCACCCCACCCCCGCTGCCAATCCCCAACAGAAATGCTCACAACAATGAAAACCTCAGACGGGAGGAAGAGTGCCGCCGGGTGGGCAGGCAGGTGTCTTGCTCGGGAGGCACTTTTTCAGTGCCATTGTAACTTCGAACAGTCACTAAGCGAACTGTTGTAAGTCAAAGACTACCTGCATTTTATCACTTTTTTCCTTTTTTTTGGTCATCAAGTTTTTGACCCCTTGCTAGGCGACTGGTGGTACTCGGATGTTGCCATATCCTAAAAGTGGTACAATGGGTGAAAAGGTTGAAAAGCCCTGCTCTATGATACAGGAAGCTATGAAAAGCAACTCCAGCCTCAGGGTAGGCAGGAAGCTTTACAAGAGAGGAAACAGGAAGGGCTTCAGCCAAGTAAAATTCGCGAGATAAATGGGGCCAAGACTAGCCCGCCACATGTACAGAGTTCCAATAAAGGTAGTCCCCGGGTTAAGACCCCGACTGAAACAAGGATTTCCACCGCTGAGCAAGTCACGCTTAACAGTTTCACAAGCTTTTTCCCCCACCACAGTTGTTCAATGAATCACTGCAGTTAAGTCATTAGGCAACCCCAGCTTCCCCCCATTGACACTGCTTGTCAGAAGTGGAGGGGAAGGTTGCTAATGGCGATCGCGTGACCCCAGGATGTGGCAACCTTTATAAAGGTACACCGGTTAGCCAATTATGATCACGTGATCCTGAGGATGCCTACAAGGGTTGTACATCCAAGGACCGATCATAACTCACTTTTTTTCAGTACCGTTGTCAATTTGAACCTTCCCTATATCGAGAATGTCCACAAACTTTTACGGCTTGGCAGACCGGTGGGGGGGGAGGAGGAAGGGGGTAGAGGGGAACAGGGCTGTGCGAGTGGCGGGCCGGGGTGCACTGACAACATGCAGCATGACATGTGAGCAACGCATGTGCAAGTTGAACAGTGTGCGCGGGTACGCACGCGCGCTGGCCCGCCACTGATGCAAATCGAGCTGAGCCCACACCGGTCTGCCACTCGCGGGGCCCGGTTCCGAATAGGCCACGGTCCAGTAGCGGGGCGTGGTCTGGGGACCCCTGCACTATATGAATGATTGTTAAGTGAAAGACTGCCTTTAATAGTAGAGAAGTCGTTCTAGGTTGAACTGCTAGGCCACACCATCGGTGCACCGATCACTCGTGTGACTTAGTTTGGAAGTGAAACATCTCCGGGGATACAAGCCATCTCAGAGAGCACCAAGAACAGATACAAGAAATTCCAGGACTAGATATAATCCATTGATGGCGAACCTTTTAGAGACCGAGTGCCCAAACTGCAACCCCAAACCACTTACTTATCGCTGGGTGCCAGGTGGGCGTGGCCCACTGGGTGGGAGTGGTTGTGGTGGTCATGGCAGTGGGTGGGTGTGGCCAAGGTGGGCGTGATCACTTTGATGTTGCTCGTGGGGAGGGACGCCTGTGGGGGCCGGGCAGGGTTGGGGGAGATCCAGGGGGTCTCTGGCAGGTGGGGCGGTGGGCAGGAGGCTTGTCCTGCGGGGTGAGGCGAGGCAGGGTGGGGGTGCCATTATCTCAGGGCAAGGCAAGCCAGGGGCCGGGGCAGCTACTGCCTGACACCATCGGCCCCCGCACACAATCGGCCCCCGCACAGAGGCCAGCGAGCGCATGGGTGCTGGGATGCATCTGGCCACGTGGGACCTCGGCGAGTTAGTGGGCAGCTGGTTGAAGAGGGACGGTTGCCATCTCCAGGGCGTGGCGCGTGTGCCCACAGAGAGGGCTCTGAGTGCCGCCTCTGGCACGCGTGCCATAGGTTCGCCACCACTGATATAACCTATACCTGTTAATACAATACTATTTCCCCTCCTCCCCCCCCCCATGCCTTCTGGAAACAAATGCCCCTTTCACATCTCCCCTGTGACTAAGCCCCAAGGAGCTTGCAAAGCAACACTCTCCTTTTTTTAAGGATTTCCCCAAAATCTGGACTTACCACTTCTGCCAAGGCCGAAATCACTTTCCCCAGCGTGGTGAGGGACTTGTTGATGTTTGCCCCTTCCTGGAAAGGAAATCAGAGGGAAGCGTTGCTCAGATACCAGAAAGTTGGAGACACAAGCTGGCTTTCCTGTCCTCAAGCAAGCTGGGTGTTTGTTTGACTAACTGCAGCAATGGCTGGGTCTGCCCAGGGGTCGGTCTCCGGTGAGCAGTGGCTGAAAAGGACTAGAATCGGTTCTTCATGCGCATTCCCTGAGCTGGCAGGGAGTTTTAAGGAAGAATTGAGAGGAGTTGGGCCTCTGAAAATGGGGGGGGAATGTGCTCAAGACAGTGATGGCGAACCTTTTAGAGACCGAGTGCCCAAACTGCAACCCAAAACCCACTTATTTATCGCCGGGCGCCAGGTGGGCGTGGCCCACTGGGTGGGTGTGGCCAAGGTGGGCGTGGTCCCCTCGATGTTGATCGTGGGGAGTGACACCTGTGGGGGCTGGGTAGGGTTGGGGGAGATCCAGGGGGTCTCTGGCAGGTGGGGCGGTGGGCAGGAGGCTCGTCCTGCAGGGTGAGGCGAGGTAAGGCGAGGCAGGGTGGGGGTGCCATTGTCGCAGGGCAAGGTGAGGCAGGGGCCGGGGCGGCACCATCGGCCCTCGCACACACAGGCCAGCAAGCGCATGGGGGCTGACAGTGTCTGTCAGCAGCTCCGCAGCCCGCCGCCAGCAGCTCAGAGAAGCCGCCTCTGAGCTGGACGGCCGGCCGACAGCTGAGGAGGCGATGCAGTGGGTTGTGCCCGGGAAAAGGAGAGCATGCGAGGCCAGGAGGGATGGGACGGGGGGGGGGAGGGAAACCAGCCATGCTGGGATGCATCCGGGCATGTGGGACCTCGGTGAGTTAGCAGGCGGCTGGTTGAAGAGGGACGGTTGCCATTTCCAGGGCATGGTGCGTGTGCCCACAGAGAGGGCTCTGAGTGCCACCTCTGGCACCCGTGCCATAGGTTCGCCACCACTGTGCTGAAGAAGTCCATCAGAGAATCACACTGGACAGCTCACGATCAAGAGGGCAGCTTCAGGCACACTGGGCTTTCTGCAAACCAAAGAACGATGGCCATTTGCCAGCTGCCCACCAGACCCCGTCCCTGGGAGATTATTTACCTTTAGTCGAGTCCCTTTGGCCCCAGTAGAATCCGCTCTCTCACTCCCGGCGAGATCCACCAGGCTGATTTTGCTAACCTGGAAAGGAAGAGGCAGGTCAGGCAAAGCACTCCGATCCAGAGGACAAACAACAGGTCAGATGCTTGTCATTTGGCAGGATCCAACAAGACCAGGATTGCATTGTGTTCCGTCGGACCGGTACCGCCTTACTGTTTTTAGGGTATACACAGTGCTCAATAAATTGTCTGCTTTTTGTTGTGGGTTTTCCAAAGTGTTATCCCAAGCTAGAAAGCTTCTCTCCCACTGGGGATGTGCATTTTTTTAAACATGGGTAATCCCACTATGTCCATCATGTAGCTAAAGTAGGCTTGTAGGGAGGAGGCAGAAAGGAATTAATTAGTCATTAATTTGTTAAGTTCTGCCTCTGCTTCTGCGTGTGGGAAGGGAAGGGAAGTTGGTCTCTCTGTCTTCCAAGTTCTTCCTTACTTCTTTTTTTCCATTGCTGGTGATTTTTCTCTCCTTCTTTGGCATTCCAGATATAGCATAATTTTTCCTCTGGAGAAATTAACAGACTAACAGAGTTGGAAGGGACCTTTAACGAAGAGAAGGACGAGGGGGGACAGGATAGCAGTCTTCCAATATCTCAGGGGCTGCCCCAAAGAAGAGGGAGTCAAGCTATTCTCCAAAGCGCCTGAAGGCAGGACAAGAAGCAACGGGTGGAAACTAATCAAGGAGAGAAGCAACCTGGAACTAAGGAGAAACTTCCTGACAGTGAGAACAATTAACCAGTGGAACAACCTGCCTCCAGAAGCGGTGAATGCGCCAACACTGGAAGTTTTTAAGAAGAGACTGGACAGCCATTTGTCCGAAATGGTGTAGGGGTTTCCTGCCTGAGCAGGGGGTTGGACTAGATGACCTCCAAGGTCCCTTCCAACTTTATCATTATTATAGGTCTTCTAGTCCAACCCCCTGCTTAAACAGGGGACCTTATATCATTCCGGACAAATGGCTGTCCGGTCTCTTCTTGAAAATCTCCAGTGATGGAGCACCCACAACTTCTGGAGGCCAGTTGTTCCACTGATCACAGTTCTAACAGTGAGGAAATTTCTCCTTAGCTCCAGGTTGCTCCTCTCCTTCCGTCGTTTCCTGTCCCGCCTTCTGATTCTTTGCAGAATAGGCTGACCCCCCCTCTTCTTTATGACCGTCCCTCAAATATTGGAAGGCTGCTATCATGTCACCCGTAGTCCTTTTCATCAGATTAGACATGCCCAATTCCTGCCATCGTTCTTCATATCTGCCTCCAGTCTCCTAATTGTCTTTGTTGCTCTTTTTTAAAATAATAATAATAATAATAATAATAATCATCTGGTCTTAAAGAAAAGAGGCGAGTTTTCCAAAGACTTTCCAAGAGATGTACGGTATTCCCTCCTATCCTATCCTATCCCTAGAAAAACAGCTATCACAGCCTCCCATAGGCTCTGGATCAATTGCAAGGATCAACTGCCACCCAGAAGAAGAAATAGATTACCTTCTCAGTGGAAAGGTTTGTTTCAACATCGAGTTTCTTCTGAGTGAAAACGATGGTAAAGACAGCATGAGAACGGCTGCTGGTCTCGTTCATGTTGGTAGCTGCTACCGTCCTGGGGAAGGAAAGAAGGAACAGGCTGTTAGGCTTAAGAGAAAACAAAATATTAAAGATAAGACTATAAAGCAGGAATGGTTAGATCGACAGCTTTATTCCGAGAGGAGAATATATTTCATGATGGTTTTTAATTTGGATATCGCTTCTGCTCCTTTAGGACTCCTGCTGCAGAGGGCCAGAATATTACTGAGTGATGACTTTTGGCGGCCAGCTCAAGCCTCTGACCAAACTGAAATGGCAAAGCATTTATTTTTCTTTAATTTTATGAAGGTTTTTTTTATATATTCTTTTCTTATATATGCAACATCTCTGCTTGTAGATGAGCAGTTGGAGTCCTCTGGGCGAGTCTCATAGTTGCCTTCGGTACCTTTTTCAACTGGAAATATGAGAAAAATGTGGATTGTACGAGGAAGGTCTACAGCGGATTATTTTGATTGTTATACAATTAATGTCCATGTGGAAAATACTATTTTTAACAATATGACAGCTATTTCCTAGTATATGAGTGTATTTTGATAAGGTTACTCTGAATGTGATGATTATTATATTCTAATATTTTTATACCTAGACAACACACTATTTAATACAGAAATGGAATTTAGCAGGAGAAGCTAAACCATCTCAGACAAGTGACTGTCCAGTCTCTTCTTAAAAACCTCCAGTGATGGAGCGCCCATGATTTCTGGTGGCAAGCTGTTCCACTGGTTGATTGTCCTCACTGTCAGGAAGTTTCTCCTTAATTCCAGGTTGCTTCTCTCCTTGATCAGTTTCCAACCATTGTTTCTCGTCCTGCCCTCTGGTGCTTTGAAGAATAACATGACCCCCTCTTTTATGTGGCAGCCCTTCAGATACTGGAACACTGCTATCCTGTCTCCCCTGTTTCTTCTTTTCTTTAGACTAGCCAAACCCAAGAAGCACCATTTCAATTTGAATCTATTAGAGTGCCAGCAGTTAAAAGATGATCCTTTCACAAATCACGTTTTCAAATCTTTCCTCCCCGTCCAGCAACACAACTAGGTATGAAACACAAACTGCAAGACCCTCCAAAGTGACAAAAGGCACCAACCTCGCTTTATTCCCAGCGTCCATGAGGTCTGCAATATCGGTGTAAGAAGTGACCGCAAGCTTGGACAGGTCTTCTACGTAAGGCCCAAGCAGTGGGTGTTCCCGGACCCGCAAATTCCCTTTGTTTTTGGGGTTCAGCAAATCTCGGACTCTCTCGCAATAGATCTCCATGTAACTGACCTACAAGAAAGGGACAACCATAGAAAACGGTGACACAGGGGGGGGAAGGGCTGCTAGTACACAGTCCTCGACTTACAACCACAACTGAGCCCAAAATTTCTGTTGCTAAGCGAGACATTAGTTAAGTGAGTTTTGTCCCCAATTTATGACCTTCCTTGCCATGGTTTGTCCAGTGAACCACTGCAGTTGGTAAGTTAGTAACCCCCATTGACTTTGCTCAAGAGGTCGCAAAAGGGACACTGTGACCGTCATAAATAGGAGTCAGTTGCCAAGCGTCTGACTTTTGATCCCGTGACCACGGGGAGGCTGCAGATGAGTGTGAAAAAGGCTCCTAGCTCGTGGTTTTTTTCCCCAGTGCCGTTGTAACTTTGAACGGTCACTAAATTAAGTCGAGGACAAGGTACACAGAAGAGGCAGGTCATAATACAGAGGAAAATGGATTTCCAAAAGTTGTCCGGGGAGTTAGAAGTGCTAATTTAAAAAAGCTCCATTATTCATCACGAGGGCACTTTAGGGCCAAGACATCAATAAGTATTTTGAGAGCTTCTCTGGATCACTCGGCTATCTAAAGCGGCGATGAGGCAAGGGCCCACACAAATAGCTCTGAGCTCAAGGAGCCATCTTAGATAAAAATGGGCCTTTCTTGAAGATTGCCCAAGATGGTCTCCTCGGAGGGGCAGCTGCCAACTTCAACCCTTCTCGTTTCTTGAGAAAGCTGGGTGTCGTGAAAGGGGACCGGAAGGGGCAGGAGAGGTGGGGGAGCTTCCAAAGAGCAGGCCTTGTATCGGAAGGGGCCACAAGCAAGCCACTAGGTAGGGCCCCATTCTAAATCTTAATACAATTCAGCCAGGGATAATGAAACTGAAAACCAGCAGGATCTGGGACAAAGGTATCAATGAAGACAAGTCAAGCAATGACACTGAGAGCGAAAGTCTCTGTGTGCATGTATGAGAGAGAGAGAGAGGAAGGGGGGAGATGGAGACGGAGGGAGGGAGGGAGGGAGAGAGAGATGGGGAGAGAGAGAGATAGGAGAGAGATGGAGACGGAGGAAGAGAGAGAGGAGGAGGAGAGAAAGAGAAAGAAAGAGATGGGGAGAGAGAGGGACAGGGAGAGAGAGAGGGAGATGGAGGGGAGAGATGGGACAGAGAAGGGGGAGAGAGAGAGATGGGGAGAGAGGGACAGGGAGAGAGAGAGAGATGGAGACGGAGGAAGGGAGAGAGAGAAGAGAGGGAGGGAGGGAGATAGGAGAGAGATGGAGATGGAGGAAGAGAGAGAGGAGAGAAAGAGAGGGAGAGGGAGAGAAAGAGATGGGGAGAGAGGGGGACGGAGGGGAGAGACGGGGAGAGAGAAGGACAGGGAGATGGAGACAGAGGGAGGGAGGGAGATGGGGAGAGAGAGAGATGGAGACAGGGAGGGAGGGAGAGAGAGAGAGATGGAGATGNGGATCAACCCTGACTTGGCTTTTTCTGAAGAATGGGGAGAATCCAAGATTCATTCTCTCGCCCCTCGGCCAGACCCCCGGGCCCATCTCTTGCAAATTCCTAGCACAAGAGGCTGAAAATGACTCCCTGCTCTGAACCTCTTTTTCCCTCTTGCTACTCTCACTTCAGAGCAAACGAAGGCGTTGGCCAGGCACATTTTTTCCCTAATCGGAAATCCTGCTGAAGCATTTATATCGGCTGTTGCAGGTAAAGGGGGAAAAAAATGTCCCGAGGACGGCGGAAGACCTTATAATATGCTTATATTATAACAGGCTGGAGTAAACACAAAATCTCTTGATGTTTCTTTCGATGTTGCTGGTTTTTCTTTTTTTTAAGAAGAACACGGTTGGGGCAAAAGAAGAAGCAGGATGTTCCATCTTTGGCAAGCTCCAGAAGAAAAAACACTGCTTTTTTATTTCATTTTATTTTTTTAACTTTCCCACGTGGAATCGACATTAACCCCAAACTCCTCTGCAAGTTGCAGAGAGCTTAGCAGAAGCTCTGACTATTTTCTCCCAGAAAGGAGAGCTAACAAAACACAGACTAAATCCGCACGGCAATGTACTACTTTTACACAGGCTGGGTTTTGGGCTTTGTGAATGGTTTGGAAAGGCCCCGTGTTAACAGGAAGAGTGTGTTTATTCAGGCACAGCCCCATCCATTATGCTCTCTTCTGATGGTCTACATTCTCCCCACCCCCCCTCCATCCACGCTCCCCACGTGCTTCCTCTCCCAGCAGCTAAAGGGGCCCTCCAGCACTACACCAATATCCAGAAACAAATCAAAGAGCATTCCAAAAATCATCCAGCCGTTCATCTCTGGCTCCCTTCAGCATACAGACATTATCTCGGTGGTTTCGAGCTTCTAATAAAGGAAACGGCCCCTGTGCACTTCTAAGGCTCAAGTGGTGAAATCCCGCTGGGGGAAAAAAAAAACCCCACGAAACTGAATCTCCATCGAGTCAACTTTTTGGGGGCGTACGGACACACCGCTTACCTCCACAGAGTAAGATATTTCCTCGTTGCTGTTGTCGTTGATCTTCTCAAAGAGCTCTTCGCACAGCTATAAAGAAATGGGGAAGCATCAAGCTATAGTTTAGGCGGAAAGGAGACCCTATGCCAGTGGTGGGGAACCTATGGCACGGGTGCCAGAGGCGGCACGCAGAGCCCTCTCTGTGGGCACGCGCGCCGTCGCCCCAGTCCTAGGCCTTCAGCTGGGTTTTATAAAATCTTTTCGCTTTAGGCCTCCATCGCCGTGTGCAAAAAAAAAAAAGGTTCAATCAATCAGTCAATTTCAACTTCTCGCAGAAAAAAAAAGATCTTGCAAAGTTGGAATTGATTGATTGAACTTTTTAGTCCCACCCAGTCTGTTGTAACCACAGCCACGCCCACCCAATGGGCCACGCCCACCCAATGGGCCACACCCACCTAATGGGCCACACCCACCCGGCACCCAACAGTGCGTAAGTGGGTTTTGGGTCGCAGTTTGGGCACTCGGTCTCTAAAAGGTTCGCCATCACTGACCTAGGATATTTGGCTATAACCGTGCCACCTCGGCCACACAAACACACACACACCCAGCCTGCTCCAAAATCCATTGACAGGTTCCTAGTTTAGCTCCAGCCAGCCAGCCAAAATTCACTGGAGGTATAAGCCTATTGGTAAGCCACTTTCTATAATTTCTCATGGGGACCGAAGTGGGAAGGCGGCTTCAGTAAAGGAGGAAACGGGCCTTAAAAACTCAAAATATGTAGGATGGTAAGCTGCCAAGAGTCGCCTCAGCGAAACGGGTGGCATAGTAAGTCTAATCTATATAAATAAAAATGTAAATGTTCGTTTGTTCAAAATCTTAAATCTCCGAAAGTTCTATACCGATTGCTTTGAAATTATCACACAACATTGCATTCGAATATGCACGTGTTTTTATATACCTATATTATATAGATGTCACACCTGTGACAGGTAAAAACATGCTTTTTTTGAAAAACAGCGCCATCTGTTGGACGTAAAAGCAACACACGCTTTTACCAGACTGAGCCACAGCAACGCGTGGCTGGGTACAGCTATAATAAAAAAAAATAAAAATAAGATCATTGAAATGAGGAACGGGGGTTGCATCTCCAAATGGTGATGATTATAAAATGCAGAAGAACAGAGTTGGAAGGGACCTTGGAGGTCATCTAGTCCAACCCCCTGCTCAGGCAGGAAGCCCTACACCCATTTCAGACACATGGTTGTCCAATCTCTTTCTTAAAGACTTCCAGTGTTGGAGCATTATGCTGAATCTTCTCTATTCCATCATAAAGCATTAACACCGCTACTTGTTTTTAGAAGAATCCTCTGTATTTCCATCGGTTTGGATACTTTTAATAGCTCCACTAAGTCACAGTTTCTCAGGGTCCTCATTTCTTCCTTACCTCCTTCTTGTACCCCCCTGAAAGAATAAAGAAATTCCCTACACGCAAAGCTTTCATAGCCCAGATCCAGGGAATCCTAATTTTATATTCAAAATAAAATGCAACGTACAAAAGAAAACGGCGTTGCAAATATTTGCCACGGCTTCCTTTCTCACAAATGCATGGCAGAAACTTGAGGGACCACAAGTGCAAAGAAGGTAATTTCAATGAAGGACACCCTGCCCCCAGTCTACGGCTTTCCATAAAGCTAAGATAGTTGTACCTATGTAGTAGCCAGAGCGGGCCGTTTCAATTTGGGACCAGTTCTTAATTCGGCCCACGCCCAAAGCCAAACACAAAAGCTTGTTCAGTTTTCAAGTGAAATCACTGACGTGCCATGAAGTGTAGAAAATCGGAATTTTCCTAACTGTACGTTTTGGGGCACAGTAATAGATTCGCAATCCAAACACGGATGCTCAATTTAATTTCTGATCCTTTGATCTTCCTTCTCCTAGAGCAGGGCTTTTCAACCTTTTCACCCATTGTACCACTTTTAGGATACGGCAACATCCGAGTACCACCAGTCGCCTAGCAAGGGGTCAAAAACTTGACCAAAAAAAAAAAAGGGGGGGGGAAGTGATGAAGTACAGGTAGTCCTCAGCTTACAACAGTTCGCTTAGTGACTGTTCGAAGTTACAATGGCACTGAAAAAAGTGCCCGCCAAGCCACAGCCGAGCAAGACACCTGCCTACCCGCCCAGCCGCACTCTTTCTCCTGTCCGGGGTTTTCATTGTGAGCAGTTCTGTTGAGGATTGGCAGCGGGGGTGGGGTGGGGGTGTTTGGTTTTTATTCCCCCCATCTGCTGGGTGGTTGCAGCAGGTTTTGGTCACTTCACATGACCCTGGGACACTGTGACCGTTGTAAATATGAATCAGTTGCCAAGCATCTGAATGTAAATCACAAGACCCTGGAGAGGCTGCAAGATTCCAGCTGATCGGCGCGTCTTCTGGGCTCAGCAGAAGTGCCAGAATCAGCGCCAAGCTCCAGCTGGAGCCTGGCGCTGATCCTGGCGCTTCCGCTGAACCCTGACAGCCCTGCAGCTCCAGCCGTCTCTCGCTCAGGCTTGTGCGGTGCTGCCACCGGTTCAGCTCATTCCCTTCCCCTGCTACCACTTTTCTAGGATGGTCGCGTACCACCTGCCAGGTGCCAATGTACCACAGGTGGTACCCGTACCACTGGTTGAAAAGCCCTGTCCTAGAGCACCTCAGCTTGAACACCTGGCTAACATTTCATTTAATCAACACCCTTGAACCAAGAAGCCCTGTTTCTCCTTCGCAGGTTTCATCAGACGGCTGGCCTGCTTTTAGACACAATGATTATTTGGATCCACTGTTCACCCAAAAAAAACACTTATATGAGCTTAGCCTTTGCTCTTTCAACCTCCCTTATGGTTTCTTTCAACTAATTCAGCATTACAGACTGGAAAATGCTGTCTCTCGGTGCCGAAACGCCACTGTCTTTTTAAATTATTTGAAGAAGACTGACGGACAAAAGACAAAAGCATCTGAAGAAGTCTGTCGTTTCAATGTGTCCCAACTTCATTAAGAAGAGCAAAATAATAAACAAATAGGAGAGAAAAGTTAACAAAATCGACGAAAACAAAATCCAGAGCAGGTTGGATTCCACTGTTCTGACCTGAACCATTGTTCAGAGGCCACATTTGAAGCAGGAAAAGGCATTCAACACTCACAACCGACCACAAATGGTCACAAACGCATAGACGGAAAGCAGCAGAGGCATTTTTGATTTATTTATTAAAGGTATAGGGCGCCTGTCTCACTACGCAGAGGCCTCATCTGTTTGCAGAAGGGAAAAAGCTGGGATATCCTGCTGAAAGGCTGAGACAAAAAGAAAAAAAAGAAAGAAAGAATATTTGGGGCCCGCAAAATTAGCCGAGATCCCGTTTACCTGTGGGATGATCCCTGCCTGGTTCTCCTCCTGCTTCCCCATCATGGTGTAAGATTTTCCCGCTCCGGTTTGGCCATATGCAAAGATGCAGACGTTGTAGCCTTCAAAGGCGTGGAGCAGCATTTCTTTCCCGATGTCATTGTAGACACGGTTTTGAGAGGCGAAGCAAGGATCCTCAGACTGCGGGGATTTAAGAGAAGATACTTAAGATTCATGTCTCCCATTGTTTGGGGTACTTTTTTTAAGGATATTCCTTAATATTGGAGAAAAGGATATTCCAGCCTAACAAGGCTGCCCCATTTCCTTCGTGTGTCATTTATGAGCAAATATATTTCTTGTGCAGTAGATTGCTTTATCTCAAAGGCAACTTTGAGATTACTTTATCTCCCGAGATGATTTCGCTACAATAATGTTTTCCTGATTTCTTTTGTTTTCTGGGAAGACTTACACGGGGAAACTTCGATTAAAACGGTAATCGGGTTCTGCAGAGATTTAACATTTTTTATCTACAGGCAAGCTAGAAATATTTAGTTGCCTGCTCTACCTAATGCACAGATTTTCTTTTTCTGGATAAATCACAGGGCCGAAAGCGCTATGGATAGGAAGATTCATTTTCCATCGTTTTCATCTCTGAAGAACAACTGAACGGCGATACCTCAAAATCCGGTAACTGCTGGAAGTCGGTAAAATCCTAGCGGTAGCTTCCATAAGATATGGGGGCTTCAGGGCCTGGATGCCAGTCTGCTTTCATGATTTTGTCTACTGGGAGCCAAATGGGGAACCAGCATACACGGCTCTTAATAAGCTAAGCTAAGAAACTGAAAACTCGATCTTTTACGGAGTTAGGAATATTCAGAGAGGAAGTTTATACATAGACTCCTACATGGAAATTGTTTGCGGTTCAAATTCCTCCTTGGAGCTGCTTAAGCTAATCCTCTCTCTCTCTCTCTCTCTCTCTCTCTCTCTCTCCTCTCTGCAAAGCCATCCTTGGACACACTTGTACCTCCTATGAAATTTAATATTTCTGATCGCAGGCTGGAAAATGCATTTAGATCGAGAGGAACCTTTTGGCTCTTAAAACAGCTAAAATCGCAATACAATCAGAGGAGAAAAACAGTTGTTGCCAGCAGGACTGAAAGAGAGAAATATCCACCCGTCCGCTCCCTGGCTTTTATCACACTTTCGGAAGCAATCTGGGGTTCAAGACAAACTAGGGTTCTTACCGAGGTGTGGGACCAGTACGAATAGTCAAAGCTGAAGGATTTGGGTGCTTCTTTCGGATTCTTTGGATTCAGGATACCTGAAAGAAGAAAAAAAAACATACACATTTACTATCCAAGAACTCTGAGGAACAATCAGGGCAGAGAATGTACAATTCCTATCTTCTACTAGATACTTGACTGAGCTCGCCTTCCAAAATGGGACTCGTGAAAAATTAGACCTCATCTATTTCTATTACAAAAGCGAGGTGCAAAACTATCACGCACTGAAGATGTTACCTAGTTGGATAATGAAAAGCCTGCAAGAAAACAACCGAGTTCAGAGAGCACTAAGATCTATCATAAACAAGAGTAATGCTGTCCTCAGGAGAGCCACATTTGTTTGAGTTGGGGGCTACATAAATAAATCTTTCAAATAAATAGGACCAGCATTGCTTGGTAGACTTCTCAACTGCTAAATAATCCAGTATGAATCCTGTGGGTTTGTTAATTTTGTTTCATTTTATTAGCCACTCTTATTAGCTTGAGTTCTGTTCTTTCACACTGGCTCTTGTAGGGAGCCATCCCAAGTTCTTACCAGATGCTGGTTTTCAAATGCTGGTGAGCTATTCAGTAACCGAATTCATGGATATTTATTTATAAGACTTACATGGCCACGGGGGGGGGGAGGGAGTTGGAGACCCTTGTTTTAAGCCGTGGTGTGTTTTTACCACGGTTCCCTGAATCAGCGGCCGGGTTCATGCAGATTGTTTGAAGATGAAATCAGATTAAATGATAAAAACGGATCAGTGCTGTCAGAAAAGTTCAGGAAGTACTTGGAAATTCTGGCCAACTTTCCACAGGATATAAATGAGAGAAGTTAGTAATGTGAATTCCATAGACTTTTGCTAACCCTTTTTCCGCTTCTGTTTCCTCTTTCATAGCTGGACAGTGAGCTTACATATATCAAGGTTGTGGGGGGGAAAAATAAATAAATTTAGCCATCTCTAAGCTTATTTTTTCCACAACCTTGATATGTAATATTTTTCATTACAGAAACCTTTATTTTTACGTTGTGAATCTGCTGTGTTGAGGGTCCATTCAGTTGCAGCTTAGAAACATGACAATGCCAAGGCAAAACAAAGAAATGTATTTGTGGAGGCTAAGAAGGGGAGAGCATTAGCTGATGGATCTCTCTGTCTTTTTAAAAAGATATCATTTCTGTGAACATTTTAATAGGCTCCTCTACGGTGTTTTTAGTTTCTTTCTCAGGCCCTTTTTATTGCTGACTCTGGTCGTTCCACAGAACGTTGCGCTTCTGAAAGCCAATCCATAATTCAGGATCTTTTTATCTCCGTATTATAACATGCATTTCCAAATGGCTTTAACTGCCCTGCTGTGAACTTCCCAGGAGCCCTTGAGCTGATGTGTGTCAGCTTTTTTGTGGGTCTCTGAGGGAGGGGGGAGGGATCTGGGTCTTCATCACAGTTCAAAGAAAAATTCCCCAATCCAGAAATTCTCAGTAGGACGGCCTACTTTTTGACGTCTTGCCCGTACGGCTCCTTGCTTTCTGTGGATTTTCTTTTTTTTTTTTACAATTCCGACTCCATTCGGCTCACTGCAAAATCTATTATGTCGAACGTTACCCACCATATGCCTCTAATTGAATTTGATTCATCGTTGTGCGGCAGCTTCTGAATAACCGATACTGTCAGTAATTGCTTCTTTGAGTTCTTGTAAGTTGATGCTTCTGTCGTCGGCAATAGTATCGGTTTCCTAATGAGGTCTCTCTTTTTTAATGCTTTTAGATTTTTCCAAGCATTTTTTTCCAAGCATTCCAGTGACTATCATCGTGCTATGTTTGGTTTTATTATTTGGGGGGCGGGTGTTTATTGCTGTTGTGAGCTACCTGGAGTTGTGCCTGACAGAAACTGGGCCGTGCAAACAAGCGAAGCCCCATCCGTGGGATGCAGACAGCACCACGCCTTCTCCGGTCTGCGGAAAAACCTCCCTCCATGGAACCGGTCCGTAGTGCCCCAAAAGCGAGGGGGCGCTGGCTTAAAAGAATGTATGAATGCGCTCTGGAACAAAACACTTTTTAACAGGCTTTTAATTTCTGGATTGTTCATGTTGTCTTTCATTTTGTATTGTGTACTACCTAGTATGTTGCAACAGCAACACAATCAGAAAGGATCCCTAATCTTTGACCATTATCTTCTGCTTTTGCAGGCTCCCCCAATACCTTGTTTCTAGTCTCGGCTTTGCCATTTTTTTAAAAATTTCCACTGGTGCTCTGTTCCAGAGCAGACCTTCCATCCAAGGCAATGGAATGGGAACAGGATCCGTTCGCGGCCTACAAATAGCAACGGTTGCTATTGGGCCTCCTAAACTTGGCGATTCCGCCCTGAACGGAGTCCTATGCGGAGTTCTTAACTTATGAATGCTGACAACTAGGCGAAGGCCAAGATTAATACGACTTGCAAAAGGGCATCAGGTGGGGAAGAGATATGTTGCTTTTGATAGCAATGGGGGGAGATTAACGGGAAAGCAAAGCAAAAGGGCAATCCGGGGCCTCTCGCACAGCGAAAGTCCCATCCCAAAATTACAAGGGAGATGGTGAAGGAGAGTGAGGATGGGAGCCGTCTGCCTTCGAAAGGGCTCGTCTCTGAAGCTGCTGCAGCTGGAATACCGCAAGAGCTTTGCACAATCTGGGCCAGAAGGCAACAAAAAGGCGTCAATTTCAAGCAAAGGTCAACATCGCCCCCATACATTCATCTGTAAAGCTGTGATGACACTGAAGGATATATTAATAGGGAACCCTTTCTAAAAGCAGTGACCCGATCCCATTCAGAGCCCGCGGTGGAACCTGGAAGTCAACGATTCCACACTTTACCATTTCTATGGCAACAGCTTCGTCTCGTTTCATTGAGAAAAGAAGATTCAAAGTAAAGCAGGTTCTCCGGATTCCATTCGCTGGCTTGGATGTTAGGAACGGAGATATTTTAGGGGCTCCAAGCTGCCTTGTTTTGGGTTTTTAGGATAGAAAGAAGAGCTTTAGGACACAGATAGGATAGATGTCCTTGTATAAGTGATATTAATCTTGGCCTTTGTCTCGTCAGCATTCGTAAGTTAAGAACCCAGCATGTGGTGGTGCAGTGGGTGGATTGCAGTATTGCAGGCTAACTCTGCCCACTGCCATCAGTTCGATCCTGACCGGCTCAAAGTTGACTCAGCCTTCCATCCCTACAAGATCGGTAAAATGAGGATCCTGATTGTTGGGGGCAAATATGCTGACATTGTAAACCATGCAGATAGCGCCACAAAGCAGCATAGAGTGATATATAAGTCTAGGTCCTTGGTGGCGAACCTATGGCACGGGTGCCACAGGTGGCACATAGAGCCCTCTCTGTGGGCACCCGCACCATCGCCACAGTCCTAGGCCCAGCTGAGTTTTATAAAACCTTTTTGCTTTAGGCCTCCGCTGCCGAGTGCCAAAAAAAAAAAAGGTTCAATCAATTTCAACTTCTCGCGGGGAAAAAAAGATCTCGCAAAGTTGGAATTGATTGATTGAACTTTTTAGTCCCACCCAGTCTGCCGTTACCACCGAAGCCACGCACACCCAATGGGCCACACCCACTCAACGGGCCACAGCCACCCAGCCCCCGACAATACATACCGTAAGTGGGTTTTGGATTACAGTTCATTATGTTTAGCGTTATGTTTAGCGTGGGATTTGGAACGAAAGAATCAAAAAATGGGATTTGATCTCGATTTCACCAACATGATGTAACGATCTTGATTGGCGGGAGGACTGGCAAGCCATGACATTAAAAGCATTCCAGGTAAATGTAGCAGCTGACTACTACACTGGGGGCAAAGTACACACAGCTAGTATACGTGATGATGTGTAAAGCGAGGCAAATTGCTCACGATATGGCGCTCTTCTTCCGAACCATTTCAGAGTTTCCACGCTGCCGCTGCGACAGCCCCATTGCGATGCGGTCGTCCCGTCGTCGGTTTCCTACTCCAGACCGATTACTTCAGTTTGGATGCACGGGACCCCAGGCTAATAGTTTAATTACACAGATCCTTAGAAAAGGAGACGGGGAATCACAGGGAAGAAAGCGAAGACCCGCACTAACCGCTTGCGTGTTGTTCAACAAAATTAATGTGTTTATCTGGAATTTGAAGGGGGGAAAAAAAGCCAACATGGCAATTAAGTCTTCTGTTTGCAAACCGCCCCTCAAATGCTTGTGTGTTACGACTATAATTAGTTTCCATCATTGTGGTGCTAAAAGCAACTTGGAGCATCATCGCAGTTAACCCTGGCCACCTGCTTCAGAGAACACCACAGCCTGAGTAGCATTTGAGGCTGCACTGTAATTTTTTATAGGACTGTTTTACCCTGTGCTATATTTGCCCTTCGGTAGAATTCGCGCTCGCCATTTGTTAAAGTGGAAGACAGGGTTTCATTGTCTCAAATACCAATCATTGGGGCTGGGTTTCCCTGTTGACAGACATGTGATCATCCTTTCATGCCTAGCAGACTTTAGAGGTACAGACCCATGGCTCCAAAATACAAAATAAAGGCCAACATCCATCGTTGGTGGCAAATGAAAAATTGGAACACAGATCTGTTTCTCTGATTTTCTCGATGTCTCCTTGTTGGGCTGTGTTTGACTCGAATTATGAGCAAGTCCTCCCTAAAGCCAGCATTTTAATATAATAATAATAATAATAATAATAATAATAATAATAATAATAATAATAATAATAATAATAATAATAATAATAATAATAATAATAATAATAATAATAATAAAAAAGTTGGAAGGGACTTTGGAGGTCATTTAGTTCAACCCCCTGCTCAGGCAGGAAACCCTATACTATACCATTTCAGACAAATGGCTGTCTAGTCTCTTCTCAAAAACTTCCAGTGTTGGAGCATTCACCGCTTCTGGAGGAAGGTTGTTCCACTGGTTAATTGTTCTCACTGTCAGGAAGTTTCTCCTTAGTTCTAGGTTGCGTCTCTCCTTGGTTAGTTTCCATCCGTCGCTTCTTGTCCTGCCTTCAGGTTTCTTTGGAGAATAGCTTGACTCCC